TATGATCACCTAATCTAACCTCCTGCACAACACAGGCCACAGAATCTCACCCACCCACTCCTGAAAAACCTCCCCTATGTCTGAGCTATTGAAGTCCTCAAATCATGGTTTAAAGACTTCAAGGAGCAGAGAATCCTCCAGCAAGTGACCTGTGCCCCATGCTACAGAGGAAGGTGAAAAACCTCCAGGGCCTCTTCCAGTGTGCCCTGGAGGAAAATTCCTTACCAACCCCAAATAAGGCGATCAGCTAAACCCTGAGCATATGGGCAAGATTCACCAGCCAGATACTACAGAAGATTCTTTCCTGGGTAACTCAGATCCCACCCCATCTAACATCCCATCACAGGCCATTAGGCCTATTTACCATGAATATTTAAAGATCAATTAATTACCAAAATCATGTTATCCCATCATACCATTTCCTCCATAAACTTATCGAGTTTAATCTTAAAGCCAGATAGATCTTTTGCCCCCACTGCTTCCCTTGGAAGGCTATTCCAAAATTTCTCTCCTCTGATGGTTAGAAACCTTTGTCTAATTTCAAATCTAAACTTCCTGGTGGCCAGTTTATATCCATTTGTTCTTGTGTCCACATTGGTACTGAGCTTAAATAATTCCTCTCTCTCTTCGGTATTTATCCCTCTGATATATTTATAGAGAGCAATCATATCTCCCCTCAACCTTCTTTTAGTTAGGCTAAACAAGCCAAGCTCCTTGAGTCTCCTTTCATAAGACAAGTTTTCCATTCCTCGGATCATCCTAGTAGCCCTTCTCTGTACCTGTTCCAGTTTGAATTCATCTTTCTTAAACATGGGAGACCAGAACTGCACACAGTATTCCAGGTGAGGACTCACCAGTGCCTTGTATAACGGTACTAAAATCTCCTTATCCCTACTGGAAATACCTCTCCTGATGCATCCCAAGACTGCATTAACTTTTTTCACAGCCATATCACATTGGCGGCTCATAGTCGTCCTATGATCAACCAATACTCCAAGGTCCTTCTCCTCCTCCGTTACTTCTGATTGATGTGTCCCCAGCTTATAACTAAAATTCTTGTTATTAATCCCTAAATGCATAACCTTACACTTCTCACTATTAAATTTCATCCTATAACTGGAGTAATAGTAATAGGATGAAATGTAATAGTAAGAAGTGTAAGGTTATGCATTTAGATCAAAGAGAGAGATCTGGATCCCAGGTTAAGCAGGTCCCTTTTCCCTAGGTAAGGTAACAGGGAAGGGTTTTTTTTTTTTATGTTTTTGTATATTTATTTCTACAACCATGATGGCTAAAAAAACAGTATTTCATTTCAAACAAAATTGTACAATTAGGAACCACTGAATGTTCCCCACAACACACAGTTTTTTAACAGTTGTAACTTCTCTTCTTCCCCCTCACCTACTATTAAGGATAGATTGCACAAAGAAGAACTTCTCCGATAGATAGCAGTACATGAAGCTGTAACAATCTGCTCATCGAAGGCAGATATATTAGCCCCACGTTAAGTAGGTCCCTTTTCCCTGGGTAAGGTAACAGGGAAGGTTCCAGAACATTCAGGAACTTTCTGGAAACAATTAAGGCAAACAGGCTGATTACAACACCTGCAGCCAATCAAGAAGCTGCTAGAATCAATTAAGGCAGGCTAATCAGGGCACCTGGGTTTAAAAAGGAGCTCACTTCAGTTTGTGGCATGCGTGCAAGGAGCTGGGAGCAAGAGGCGCAAGGAGCTGAGAGTCAGAAGGCGTACTACTGGAGGACTGAGGAGTACAAGCATTAGCAGACATCAAGAGGAAGGTCCTGTGGTGAGAATAAAGAAGGTGTTCGGAGGAGGCCATGGGGAAGTAGCCCAGGGAGTTGTAGCTGTCACGCAGCTGTTACAGGAGCCACTGTAGACCGCTACAATCCACAGGGCCCTGGGCTGGAACCCGGAGTAGAGGGCGAGCCTGGGTTCCCTCCATCCCCCCAACTCCCTACTTGATACTGGAGGAGTTGAACTGGACTGTAGGTTCCACCAGAGGGGAAGGTCTCTGGCCTGTTCCCCAATCCACTAGGTGGATCAGCATAGACTGCAGGGATTGTTCTTCTTCCTTTCCCCATGCTGGCCAGTGATGAGGCTAACTGAGTGAACGGCAGATTTGAGCCATAAAAGTGGCCAAACTGAGGGCTGCTGTGAACCTCTGAGGTGAGAAAATCCGCCAATAAATGCAGGACCCACCAAGGTAGAGGAGGAACTTTGTCACAGTATGCTCAATGCAGGAATAGCTGGTTAATTTTCTCTGGCCTGTGTTTTATGCAGGCAGTCAGGCTAATTGAACGTAATTGTCCTTTGGGCCTTCACATGTCTGATTCTGAGTCTTCAGGACTGTAGATTACCCGGATACCCAATTAGTCTTTTCTCTGGACTCAGGTCCCAGTTACAACAAGCATCCCTCTTCAGCGAAGAACTGGTGTGGGCTTAACTCCCAGTAAAGTCAGTGGGGCTCAAGCTGTGAGCTGGAGTCCACAGAGGGGGCACCTTGGAGATAATTCAGATGGGATTGGTGAGATTTGTCGGGCGGAGGAGTCTCCCACGTTTGAGCCCACGGGATCAGAGGTTGGAGAATAATTGCTCCTCCTGCCGAGCTTTCCTCTCTAGGTGTGTGAAGCAGGCTGAGGGAGCAAGGAGACCCAGCACCAGGCCTATGGTGTCTGCCCCTCTGTGGGGGCAGAGTGGGTCTCCTGAGTGATGGAGAAGGGGTCATTGACCCTTCACCACCTAGCTGTAGTCCATTGTGACCCCATGGAAGGAGGATCTTCCCTCCCTGTCCTGAACTGGGAAGAGGTGTTTAATTATCTTATTTCCAGGCCCTGGTTGGCATTTCTTCTGTTTATTTCTTCACCACTTGTACTGAGGAAGCACCTAAAGGCCCCAATAAAGGCTCACAGCCCCAGAGAACCAGGTGCTGCATGGATAAATAGGGACAGTCCCCAAACCAAATTGTTCACACTCTGAGTAATAGTTTCTTTTTCTGGCTTGTGTTTTAGAGGGATATGGGGGCGGGGGAAGAAGAGGGGTTTAATTGGCAATGAGGAGGCTTAGTTGCAAACTAGATACCTAGAGTGTGTAGCAGCTCTGCTCAACTCCCCAGGGGAGTAAGTCAGGTTCATTCCCCTAGGCAGAGTGGATGAAGCCTTGCTCAAGGCAAATGCATCATGGGATCTTGTACCATTTATGGCCTAGTCCCTGTAGGCTGGGGTTAGGGAGAGGAAGGCGCCTCCCTGCGTGGGCTGCTCATATCCTGGGTCTGGAATACTACTAACAGCCCTTACCCTAATGAACAAGATCAACTCTTGTTTCCTTTCCCCTCCCCCACCCCCCCTCCCCGCAATCCCCCAAGCAGGATATCCAATTTCCAAACCAGATGTGATCTCCCGGTTGGAACAAGGGGAGGAGCTGTGGGTCCTCTGGCTCCAGGATTAGGAGGAAAGGGGAATCCCAGGAGACATCCACACAGGTGAGGAATCAACTAAAGTGACTTAATTTTCATATTTGCATGGCAGGCATCCTTAATGGGTTTTCACCAAACATGTCTGACTGAAAAAACCCCTCTCCTCCTCCACATCCGGATGAGATGGGGAGGCAGAATTGGTCCACCTCCTCTGGGGAAGGTTTGCAGGGGATTTATCCCTGATTGATTTATACATTTATTTATCTCCCCAGGGTTATTTTGGTTTCTTCTGCCCTGTCTCACCTAGGTCAGGATTGCCCTGGCAGGTGAGACATCCTCACAGGAGACATCACTCATGGTTTCCCACTCACCTGGCAGTAGCTCGCTTTTTCTCTGAGTGTCTTGATGGGATGTGGAGGCAGAATCAATCCCCTCCTTCCTTTCCAGTGAGGAAGGGTTTTGAGGGGGAATCATTATTAGAGTTTGTTCCTTGCTTACCCTTCCCCCACCCCACCCCACCCCACCCGGCACAGGGAGTGACTCCTGTCTGGATTCTCTCTGTCCCAGCAGATGATGGGACGGTGAGCGAGAACCAGGAGGAGACTCCTCAGCAGGAAGGTCCTGAGCAAGTGGAACCACAGGGGACGGTATCAGGAAGAGCTGAAAGGGATGTTTCCCAGAGTCCAGAGCTGGGAGAAGCCCATGAGAGGTGGCACAGGCCAGAGAGGCAGCAGAGAATCCAGCCAGCAGAGAGATTGAGTAAATCCACTCACAGGAGCAGAGGAGTCAAGAAAATCAAAGAAACTGTTCAGGCGAGGATGCCTCCTGAAGAGAGACCCTACAAGTGCAGTGCCTGTGGGAAAAGCTTCCACTGGAGATCAGTCCTTATTACTCACCAGAGAATCCACACTGGAGAGAAGCCCTATAAAGGCAATAACTGCGGGAAAAGCTTCAGTGACAGCTCAGCCCTCACTAAACACCAGAGAATCCACATAGGGAGAGACCCTACAAATGCAATGAGTGTGGGATAAGCTTCAGTCACCACTCGGCCCTTGTTACTCACCAGAGAATGCACACAGGAGAGAGACCCTACACGTGTGATGACTGTGAGAAAAGCTTCCACTGGTGATCAGCCCATATTACTCACCGGAAAATCCACATGGGAGAAAAACCTTACAATTGCCCTGACTGTGAGAAAAGCTTCAGACAGCAGTCAAACCTTTTTAAACTTTACAGAATCCACATGGGAGAGAAGCCCTGTAAATGCCCCAACTGTGGTAAAGTCTTCACTTGGAGCTCCCGCCTTATTGAACATCAGAGAATGCACACAGGAGAGAGACCCTATAGGTGTCCCAATGGTGGGAAACGCCTATAGGGTTGGGATAGGGCAGGGGGTAGGGATAGCTCAGTGGTTTGAGCACTGGCCTGCTAAACCCAGGGTTGTGAGTACAATCCCTGAGGGGGCCATTTAGGGATCTGGGCAAAAATTGGGGATTAGTCCTGCTTTAAAGAGGGGGTTGGACTAGATGACCTCCTGAGGTCCCTTCCAACCTTGATATTCTATGATTCTTTGTCAGCTCAATCCTCATTCACCATCAGAGAATCCACACTGGAGAGCGACCCGATAAATGTCCCAAGTGTGGGCAAAGCTTTGTTCGACAATCACAACTGGTTATACATCAGAGAATCCACACAGGAGAGAAGTCTTATAAATGCAATGAGTGCGGGAAAAACTTCAGTGACAGATCAGACCTCACTAAGCACCAGAGAGAAAACACCGGAGAGAAGCCCTACAAGTGCCCCAAGTGCAGGAAAAGCTTCTGTTTCCAATCAGACCTCACTAAAGTCTGGGGGGAGGGGTAGCTCAGTGGTTTGAGCATTGGCCTGCCTGCTAAACCCAGGGTTGTGAGTTCAATCCTTGAGGGAGCCATTTGGGATCTGGGGCAAAAATTGGGGATTGGTCCTGCTTTGAGCAGGGGGTTGGACTAGATGACCTCCTGAGGTCCCTTCCAACCCTGATATTCTATGATTCTAAACATCAGAGAATCCACGCAGGAGAGAAGCCCTTCAGTTGCTCCAAATGTGGGAAAAGCTTCGGTCGGAGATCCGACCTTATTATACACCAGAGAATCCACACAGGAGAGAGATCTTGAGTGTGAAAAAAGCTTCAGTGACAGATCAGACCTCATTAAACATCAGAAAAAACACACAGAAGAAAAGCCCTACAAATGCCTTGAGTGTGAGAAAAGCTCGGATCGGCACTCAAACCTTATTATGCATCAGAGAATCCACACAGTTTCCACGGTATGCATCCGATGAAGTGAGCTGTAGCTCACGAAAGCTTATGCTCAAATAAATTGGTTAGTCTCTAAGGTGCCACAAGTCCTCCTTTTCTTTTTGTGAATACAGACTAACACGGCTGTTACTCTGAAACCACACAGGAGAGAAACCCTACAATTGCCTGGACTGTGGGAAAAGCTTCAGTCACAGCTCAACCCTCACTACGCACCAGAGGATCCACACGGGTGAGAAGCCATACAAATGCCCTGAGTGTGGAAAAAGCTACAGGGACAACTCAGGCTTCATTAGGCATCAGAGAATCCACACAAAAGTGAAATGCTGGAAGTGTCCGTGTCTTGTGAATAACACCTGTGCCGATTCCCATGAATCTCAGAGGTCAGGCCAGGCTGAAGCAGCCACATGATGAGGACATGCAATAGTTATTAAAACAGAGAATGAAACTGCCTTCCTGGAATAGCGCTGTGCAGAGCAAGAGGCTGAAATAGGATTCCCACATCATGACTGGATTTGATTATTATGTCTCAAGAAGCTCCGAACATCCTCTGTTCAGTTCCTACATTTAAGTTTAATTACCCACAACTGGTCAGTTCACTCTCTAATTTAGGGATGTTCTTGTATTCCTTGCTGACACTAAACTCTCACATAGCAACAATCCACAAGTAACAGTTTCTATCATCTCTGGTTGGCTAGAAGACGTCATCCCATCCCAGTGGATGAGGACCTCGCTCCCTCAGCCACATTTTTGTCACTGCTCGGCTGGACTACAACAATGTGATATACCTGGGCATGAACCCATCAGCATGTAGGAAATTCCAACTACTACAGAACACTGCAGCTTGTCTGCTCAGCAACACAGGCTACCGCAGATACATCAGGCCATAGAACATCAAATCAAGTTCAAGATCTCAGTCCTTATCTCCATGTCCAGGGCCTAGGATATCTAAAATGCCATCTAAAGCTCCAGGATGAAAACCACAATCTAGTGGCCAGCCAGATTGGTCACAGAGGGGAGCTGGGCTCTGTCGGTTGTGATCCGAGGCTCCTAGGATTGTTGGCAAGACTAACCCAAAGTCCCATGGCAAAGCACCCTGATCGTATAATCCTTTCTCTTCGTTGAAGTCTATGGATTTTGCTGTGTCATTTTATGACTGGTTACTCCTCAGTCGGTGTTATGTTTTGATGGTTAACATTCCAAAACACCTCCGGGAGGGTCATCCTGTCCTGGTTTCGATTCAATCAATTATCTTGTGTTTAGGGATGCTAGCCTCCAACTCAGGGTCGTCAATCTGCCCTTCCTCAATCATGGATGCGCGTTGATGGTTTTCTGGTGTTCTTAAGCATCTTCACTCCTCCTCCCTTGACCATCCGACTCTAACAATGGCCTTCACACCTTATCCTTTCCTGATGCATACATTCTTCATTCACACAAACAGTTCTTTACAGGGACCTTCAAAGGTATACGAATAACAGTGTTTTATGTTGAACAAGAAAGGCATAGTAAATTAAATTTTACTAAATCTTTTAACTATCTTGCCTTCCATTGGGGCCTGGACCTTCAAAATTCCTCTAATCTAACTAACATAGGTCCTGTCTTTTTACTTACAAGGCATGAATAAAAAGAAAATGGCTAATACTAATATCAACTATTCTATTCATTAATTCTAATACCTTACCCCTTACTACAAAACATGCAATGTGTATAACAAAATATAATCAATTATATAGCACAGTACCTATGGTACAACAGTATGGCCTGGCAATGTGCATGCCAAATAAGAGCACTCTTCTCTGTGCCTTAAATGCTCTTTCCTTATCCCTACAGATCAGCAGTAAGAGCAACGCATAATGAATGGACTTTTGCAGCAATTGGTCTGAGCCCAAGAGGTTAACAATGTAGCCACAAATGCCTTATTATCTGTATGCAATATGAAATGGCTCTGTAGCCTCATTTGGGCAATTATCACCTCTGACAGTTAGAGGTGCTGGAACTGCGGGTGCTGCTGCACCCCCTGGCTTGAAGTAGTAATAAAAAACACCAAATCAATTGTCTCCCTCAGCAGCAATGCATCCGATGAAGTGAGCTGTAGCTCACGAAAGCTTATGCTCAAATAAATTGGTTAGTCTCTAAGGTGCCACAAGTACTCCTTTTCTTTTTGCGAATACAGACTAACATGGCTGTTACTCTGAAACCCTCACTATAGAAATTGTTCTAGCACCCCTGCTGACAGCAAGCATTTAGAAATGTAAAGGAAGCTAAAAGCTCAGGGCCCTGATCACACTGTGAACCAAAGGACTTTCTCTGTTGCTTTTCCTCTTGGAACTGCCAGTGCAATAAACAGACCTGCCCTGCAACCTGCTGGACTTTAACCTCAGTGTCTCCATCTTAACTGGGAGCAAGAGGGGCTGCAGGCAAGGGGGACGGGGAAGGGAATATCATGTGACACATAAGAGGGCATGTTTGGCTGATGGTTGTGAGACTTGATACTTAGGGGAAATAAACCCTTTGGACCTTAAAGTCTCTGGTGCAGATGCCATTTTGAGCATACTGGGGGTGGGAAAAGTTGCGCAAGTGCAGAGGGGTTCAGAGTAGGGCTGTCAAGCGATTAAAAAATAATTGTGATTAATCACAGTGTTAAACAATAATAGAACACCATTTATTTAAATATTTTTGAATGTTTCCTACATTTTCAAATATATTGATTTCAGTTACAACACAGAATACAAAGTGTACAGTGCTCACTTTATATTTATTTTTGATTACAAGTATTTGCTCTGTAAAAATACAAAAGAAATAGTATTTTTCAATTCACCTAATACAAGTACTGTAGTGCAATCTCTTTATCAAGAAAGTTGACTTACAAATTTAGAATTATGTACCAAAAAACCTGCATTCAAAATTAAAACAATGTAAAATTTTAGAGCCTGTAAGTCCTCTCAGTCCTACTTTTTGTTCAGCCAATCACTCAGACAAACAAGTTTGTTTACATTTGCAGGAGATAATGCTGCCAGCTTCTTATTTTCAATGTCACCTGAAAGTGAGAATAGGCATTCTCATAGCACTGTTGTAGCTGGCATCACAAGATATTTATGTACACTGTAAATATTTGTACTGTAAAAAAATAGTATTTTTCAATTCACTTCATACAAGTACTGCAGTGCAATCCCTTTATCATAAACGTTGAAATTACAAATGTAGAATTATGTAAAAAAAACCTGCATTCAAAAATAAAACAATGTAAAACTTTAGAGCCTACATAGAATCATAGAGCATAGAATCTCAGGGTTGGAAGGGACCTCAGGAGGCCATCTAGTCCAACCCCCTCCTCAAAGCAGGACCAATCCCCAACTAAAGTCCACTCAGTCCTACTTCCTGTTCAGCCAATTGCTCAGACAAACAAGTTTGTTTACATTTGCATGAAATAATGCTGCCCGATTCTTATTTACGTCTCCTGAAAGAGAGAACAGGTGTTTGCGCGACATTGTTGTGGCCGAAGTTGCAAGCTATTTACGTGCCAGATGTGCTAAAGATTCATATGTCCCTTCATGCTTCAACCACCATTCCAAAGGACATGGGTCCATGCTGGTGATGGATTTGCTTGATAATGATCCAAAGCAGTGCATGTTCATTTTCATCATCTGAGTCAGATGCCACCAGGAGAAGGTGGATTTGTTTTTCTTTGATGGTTTGGGTTCTGTAGTTTCCGCATTAGAGTGTTGCTCTTTATGACTTCTGAAAGCATGCTCCACACCTCGTCCCTCTCAGATTTTGGAAGGCACTTCAGATTCTTAAACCTTGGGTGGAGGGCTGTATCTATCCTTACAAATTTCACATGGGTACCTTCTTTGCATTTTGTCAAATCTACAGTGAAATGATTCTTAAAATGAACAACATGTGCTGGGTTATCATCCGAGGCTGCTATACAGTAAAACATATGGCAGAATGAGGGTAAACCAGAACAGGAAACATACAATTCTCCCCCAAGAAGTTCAGTCACAAATTTAATTAACGTGTTATTTTTTTAACAAGCATCATCAGCATGCCCTCTGGAATGGTGGCTGAAGAATGAAGGGGCATATGAATGTTTAGCATATCTGGCACATAAATACCTTGCAATGCCAGCTACAAAAGTGCCAGGCAAATGCCTGTTCTCACTTTCAGGTGACATGGTAAATAAGAAACAGGCAGCATTATCTCCCACAAATGTAAACAAACTTGTTTCTTTTAGTGATTGGCTGAACAAGTAGTACTCAGTGGACTTGTTGGCTCTAAAGTTTTACATTATTTTTTTTTTTTGAGGACAGTTATGTAACAAAAAAAAATCTACATTTGTAAGTTGCACTTTCACAATAGAGGCAAAGAGTCCTGTGGCACCTTATAGACTAACAGACGTGTTGGAGCATAAGCTTTCGTGGGTGAATACCCACTTCATCGGATGCATGTACTGGAAATTTCAAGAGGCAGGTATAAATATGCAAGCAAGAATCAGGCTAGGGATAACGAGGTTAGTTTAATCAGGGAGGATGAGGCCCTCTTCTAGCAGCTGAGGTGTGAACACCAAGGGAGGCCAATGGGGGCTGCGGGAAGGGCGGCCAGCACGTCCCTTGGCCCGCACCACTTCCCGCAGCCCCCATTGGCCTGGAGCGGCGAACCACAGCCAGTGGGAGCAGCGATCGGCCAAACCTGTGGACACGGCAGGTAAACAAACCGGTCTGGCCCGCCAGGGGCTTTCCCTGAACAAGCGGTGGACTGGCTTTGAGAATCATAGAATCATAGAATCATAGAATATAAGGGTTGGACACTGACATAATAGGTCGATGTGCCATCATAGACTAGTGCCATCATAGAATATCAGGGTTGGAAGGGACCTCAGAAGATCATCTTGTCCAACCCCCTGCTCAAAGCAGGACCAATCCTCAATTTTTGCCCCCAATCCCTAAATGGCCCCCTCAAGGATTGAACTCACAATCCTGGGTTTAGCAGGCCAATGCTCAAACCACGTAAGCCACCTTGCATCAACCTAACTCTGTAGTGTAGACCAGGCCTTTGATTTTGGCAGTAAAGAACAATAAGCTTGTGAGAATGAAGAACATCGCTGAAATGTGTCATAATGTACGTATCCTACATAGAAATCTATGAAATTACAGTATTTAGGTGAGAGGTTTATCGCAGGAGTGGGTGTGTGAGATTCTGTGTCTTGCATTGTGCAGGAGGTCAGACTAGATGATCATAGTGGTCCCTTCTGACCTTGATATCTATGAAAGTATAAAATAAGAAATA